AATTCTTTAAGGACCGAAAAAAAATGTTCTTAAGTAATTTAACCCATTCCTGATGTGTCATCGCATCGCATCCCTTTATGATGGATTTATATCATAACTAAAGCACCGGAGTAGGGAAAAAAATATGAAATTTTATCCCATTAAAAGCTATTTGCAGTTCAAATATCGTCTGAACAAATATTGGTACATTAAGAATGATATGCCAGCTCTATCATAAGTTTTATGCTCTATAACTCTCTCTTTTTTCGGAAAGGGAAAAATTTCATGTGTATGTGCTAGGAACACACATTTAATGTATTATGTACCTCTTACTTATATTGAGAATAATAAACACCTCCCAATCCTTACATCTCTAGTAGTTATATGCTCTATTTCTCACACTACAACAATAGAGATGAATGATATTTATTATGATGGATATGAAAAACTCTTTGGATTTCTTTATTGATGATAATGTCTTTATTCTTTAATGTTCATATTCTTAATCGAAAGGAACCGAATTCATTATGAGCAATTATTGATGAGAATTGGATGAATGGAGTGGAAAGGGGTATTTTTGATGATTTTTGGGGATGTTGGAATTTTTTGGCGCCAAAATCTTCAGTTATGAGATTCCAGGAGATTTCTGGAGCTTACTCCTGTCTCAATAAGTAAACTGATGCTTCTTAATTCTCAGATAAAAACACTTACAGAACTTCCAGTGAAGAAAATTCAAGGTTTAATCTAAACTCAAATCTAACCTAAACTTAATAATAAGCTCATTTATTGTGTCAAATTCGAATCACAACTGTCAATTCCAAAATAAACCAAAAAATCAAAACATTAATTTAAACCTCACTGAAATTTAAAATCCCCAATAAACTTCAAATCAAATTAAAAATTCTCAATTCCTCAATATTTTATCAACAGAATCAGCAAAAAACTTCCATCACGCTCCTTCATTGAAATCCTTCGCAACATTATTTTTCATTTATTTACTTTCTACTTTGTTCTTCTTTTCCACGTTTCAGGAGACTCGTGCAAATACGAACGAAAGACGAAAAGAAAGGGAAGGAACAAAATTTACATTAAAAGATTTGTGCGTCGAACAAGAGGAAGATGGTACACGGTAAAGGAAGGCAAAAAAGGTAAACATAGAATTAAAAAGTTTCTTAATTAAATTAATCGCTAAAAAATCTTTAGGAAGTTGATAAAAATTCAAATGAGCTACGATTTGTCGACTTTTGATTAAAGCAATTTTGAACATGACAAATGGAATGGGAAATTAGACATAAAAAAGTTTTGCTCGTGATTTTTATGTATGGATTTTTTTGTAGGGAGGATGATTTAATGGATACAAAAAGGAAGTAAATGATTTTAGGTAGCGACCAACTTTTTAATGACTTTTTATTTCAAATGAATCTCTTGAGATTGAATATCAATTCCTTCTTTTAACTTCCTTTATGCTGTTTGTTTTTTTAAAACGAATCATTACGGTATTTTTAATAGTAAGTAGGCAATCAATGGCATTAAAAAGTTGGGGTTTAAAAGGTTGGGTATCATGATTGGATGCTTGGCTGTTTCATTCTTAACTGATTTTGTGTTCTAAGTCGAGTTGATATTGTGATTCAACCTCTCTTTCTGTCTAAATGCTTTTCCACGAGTTAAAGCCAACAAAAAAGTGAACAAAATGTTCATAATAATTATCGGGCAATTATCTTTACCAATTATGTCCACTTGACCACTTTCCATTTCCTGTTCTGTTGCATCATTTGTTCATTTTTAAAATCAATTATAAAATTTTCAAAAAAACTCACAGAATGAAAAAATATTTCAACAGTTTATAGCTTGAATTGAAGCAATTTAAAAAATATTCACCCCATTGAATCATTTTCAAAATTCTCAAAAATTTAAGCCTCAATTGAATCGCATTTTTAAAAAGAAAAGCCAGAAAAACTTTTAATTTTGTGAGATTATCCTAAACGATCCAGATGAAGAAAAAAAAGCAAAAGACACAAAAGTCAAGGAAGCATGATGAAAAAAATTTATTTTTATTTCCCAACTCCCCTCAAAAACACAAGAAATAGCACAAAAAAAATATAGAAACGAGGAATGAAACTTTTCTTGAGGTCTTGTTGATAAAAATCACTTCTATAAATCTTTAAATTAGGTTTAATTATTAATTAACCATAATACGCCGTAATACCTTAATTATTTAAATTATCCTCCTTTCTCCCATTTCCAGGGAGTTTTTTTTCATGTCTTTTGATAATGATTTGAGCAAACAGAATAAATCGTGAATTCTTAATGCTTGGCTTTTTTTTTCTATCAGGATTTAAAGAAGTACTTTGAATTTTTATGATATTAGGGATGAGCATTTGAAAAGGGGATATTAGGAATAAGACCAAGATATTTGTGTATATTCGGTCTTGAATTTCAGGATGTCGCATATTTAAGGACAATCCTTTGAAAGTTTATTGATTGATATAGTTGTAGATGTTGAGAAATTTGATGGATTATGATTTATTGAGCTGGCTAATGAGTGTTAATAGATTTCTGTAGAATCGCTTGACTCCTATTGTCTCTTAATTAGTGCTTCCTTGTAATTAATCGATCTTATATTTGCCAATCAAGTTTATCTTTTCTGAGATTTAATGATTTCTATTTTAAAGTTCAAAGTTGAATCATAAATATCCGAGCTTATGAAAATCTCTTCAGTAAATGATAAGATTCGAACCCGGAAGATTTGAATTTCCAAACTCATTTCGCAATCAGCACCTTTCCAACTAAACTATCAAGATACTTAACTTAAAATATCCTAAGCAATGATAATCACATCCATAATCTAAGACAGATAAATAAATCATGATTAACGTCAATACTCATCAAATTGTAAGACCAGAAAACTCCCACATCGATATCTTCCTCCTTTTCAACTTCCTTAATTAACAATTTCACGAACTATGCAAATATCGTCCTTTATGTATCAATAGAATATTCATATTTTGTTTATGAAGGAAAAGAAAAAAAAATCAAAAAGGAATAGGAAGCTCAGAAAAATGCTAATAAATCATCAGCATAAGAAATGAGCGGAAAAAAGAAAATATTAATTGGTAAACGTGAGAAATCATGGAAAATTGGAATTATTTTTCGGAATATTAATTACTTTGACACCCGATCGATGGTGATAGCATGAAAAATCCTTTCTGGGAAAAGTCGAACGCGATGTGAATTTTTTTGGTGCGATTTTTTTTTGAGGAAATGATTGTGTGGTTTGCATTTTGTCTTTCCTTTCTAAGTTTATTGCGTTTTAGTGTCTTACTAATGCTTATAAGAACAATTTTCGGTTTCTAGAGTTATCGGAGGTCCCTTAGTAGCAGTTTAACTTGACTTATATTCTATTGAACCTCGTGTATTCATAGAAATTGACCCCAGGCAAAACATCCAACCAATTATTTGATTCCTTTTGTTTTTACAAGAATCTTACTTATGGTTTAAACCAAACACGATTCAGTCTTTACTGAAGTAAATAAATGTGAGCCTAAATGCGCTTCAACTACTCACATGTAACCACATCACTGCTAGTTTTTCACTGTCATACTTTTTTGTGCTTCTTTTTTTTGCCTTTAATTAAAAGAGTGAAAAAGTTTTAATTGAAAAAAAATTCTTCCTTTTTTATCTTTACACTTTCTGGGTCTTGCTCTCTCAATAAGACAAAGTGACAAAGTCAAGAAATCGAAAAACTAATTAAAATATGGAAATTAATTGATTGAGAATGAGCGGAACGATGGACATGATGGAAATTCTTCCTCATCGAACTACTTTTAATCTCTGTTTTTTCGATACGAAAATTAATTTCTTAAGAAATCTTTTCAATTCAGTTACGAGAAGGAAAAGGACGTGAGAAGGTCAATAAATATTGAGAATGGTTCGAGTTAGGTATTTCCGATAAATCTTTAGACATTTCTGTTTCCGATGTTTTGTTTTCTATTTTTCAACCTTTACAAGCTCAAGATGGTGAAAATTTCATAACAATAAAATGTACACAGCACGACATCAGAAGCAGTAAAATTAGCATAAGAATGCTTGCTTTATGTGAAAGGAAGAATTATTAAGTTGAAGGAACAATTTCAATGTTGCTGGCCCAGTGAGGAGAAAAGAGTAAATTTTAAGGACTGTATGCAGCCCAGAATTAGGAAAAATTAGACATTGATGTTGAGGTCTTCTAGAATGAGTGACATCATGGCCAACAATTGATCTATTCGGTCAAAAAGGCACATCACCCAAAGATTGAACTTCCAATCCCTTTATCAAAAGCATCTCATCTCCCCACCAGTATCATCGCATTTATATCGATATTTAAGCATAAAAAAAATCAAGGAACAATAGTAAGCACACGAAGAAGTCAATTGGAAAATTTATGGAACCTTTTATTTGACACAAAAGGAATTTTCCAATAACAATTTAAATGATTTTCCCTGGCTTTTCTCACAGTATCATACAGTATCGTTATTGTGTTAAAGTTGTGATTTTTATTGCGATTCACATACAACACCGAAACGGCATGCCCAACAAAATCGTTATCGATACGGTAGCAAATATCAATTTCACATGCAATAAAAATAAAATTCAAATCGATATGTGTGCTATTCTTCCTCCTTCGTCGTCATCTCCCCTTTTTTTCAAATGGGATAATTTTTTTCAATAAAAAACGGAAGTTAGATTAGGAATCGAAATGTTATGAGAATTCTTTGCGTTATTTGTCTGGGAGGGGATGTATGTGAATTTAGGGTAAGATGAACATTTTCACTGACAGGTATTTACTGTGTTGTAAGCGTCTGCATGCATAAAGAAGCAAATCAATTCAAATATTTGAGAAAACATCGTTAAATTTGATAGGAATGTTTTCCTTCCTTGACTTCCTTTACTCCGCTACTTTTTATTGTGTATTCAATGTAATGGTTATGTGAATTTTTATTCTATTTGCTGTATCGCATGAAATTGATAATGTGGATGGAGAAACTCAATGCGATTTGAGGAAAGAATTGAGATTGTTTATTTGGAAATTTGTGGATTTATAATTTCAATAATTAAAAGGTTTACTGTATCAACATAGTCTGTTGGCATAGAAATTCAGCTACATTTTCATTACAGTTAATATCATTGAATCCCAAAGTTTCATTCTTATTTGCTCTTCCTATCGATAAGCAATTTTCATCTTTATAACCATTGGTTGGTTCTCCTTCAGCCCATGTCAAGTTATATGGAATTTTCAAGCCTGAATTTGTCCAATAAAAATGCATTGGTAACTCAGACATGAATGTCATCCCATCAACTAAAACATAGGCTTCATTATTGTCTTGAAAATGTTTAATTGCTGCAGTTTTTTTGAGAAAATTATCAGCTTCATCTTTAGTTTCAAATGTTGCCAATTCCAAATTAAATGCTTTACATATTATTTTAGCATTAATCCATGTTGATTTAAAATGTTCGAAGAAATAGTATTTTTTCTTATATCTCGTGCCATTTTTGGTTTCTCCATCTAAAATGATGAGATTTTTTTTATCTATACTGGGGGTCCTCGATTTGAGGAGGTGTTTTGTTCCAGAAAAATCCTGTTCAAATCGAATCTATTCAAATCGAATTGTTTCTATCTATTAATTTTCGTTACTCAAATAGAATTTATTCAAATCCAATCTACTCAAATCGAGGACTCCCAGTAGTTTGAAACTAGGTTCATAAATTGTTTTCTTACAATATTCTCCAAACGGCTTAAAAATGATTTGTTTTGGTGAACTATTTGTATGCAGAGAAGCAGATGAAATTTCAGTATGATGTTCTGAAGAAACCAGGAGAAAAGCGGCAACAAAAATCAAAATTTTAGTGACCATTCCGATATTTTGATGTTCACGCTTGAAAGATACAATTGAAACTGATTTGCGAAAGATATATTCATTTAATGGATAATTTAAATAAATTGCTTCACAATACAAAAATCACAAAGCAGATGATAAACCTTATTCTTTTTTGCTGGCTTTACTTGCTATTAATCTAAATAAGGATCTATATTTTAAAGTTTCAATAGTTTATTATTATCTTTAAAACCCTTTAAACACATTAAATACAAAAACGTAGATTTTAATTTTTAATTAGTTCTGTTTTCTGACATGCAAACCGTGCTGCATAATTCGCAGGAATATCATTAAATCCAACTTTATCATCCATTGAAATTCGCCCAACAGACAAGACTGGTTCATTATTATAAAAGTTATCAGGTTGTGCTGCTGCCCATGGAATGCTGTATGGAATTTTCTCACCAGAATTTGTCCAATACCATTCAGCTGGTGAGCCTTGTAAGTCTGTTACACCATCAACAAGAACAAAACGTCCATTAGCTTTGAAGTATTCATTTTTCTCTAAAATAGTAACAAAGTTTTGTGCCTCATCTAAGGTTTCGAAAGTAGCTAGCTCCATGTTAAAGGAGTTGCAAATTGATTTAGATTCAGGCCAAAAAGATTTAAAGTATCTGGAGATGAAATACGTTTTCTTGTAATTCATGCCTGTGCTGCTTTGTCCACCTATTGAACGTATGACAATGAATGCTTTTGATTAAATTAGATTCAATAAGCGTTAAGCTTTTAGCTGTGACACAAAAATATAAAATTTACAGCCAGCACACGAGTCAAGGTCACTTTTGCAAAATACAATTTTTTATTCTCACTGTAATTCCCGAAATCTTCAAATGCTACATTCTTTGGCTGAGTCTTTGCATGCAAAACAGATGATGAGGTTCGAAACTGATCCTCTGATGATACCAAGAGATAAGTAGTCACAAAAATTAAGATTTGCTTTAGCATTTTATTTTAAAAATTATGTTTAAGCAAAACAATTGAGAACAATTTGTACTGATCAGTTCTGCCAAAAACACTACCATTTATAAAAATAATTTGTCGTTTTACTAGGAAAACTGCAGGACCCGTCACCAATCTGAAAGTTTCATCGAAAAATTTGGAAAAATAAAAGAACCAAAATTAAAAATTAAGATTCAAAAAAGTTTAAAAAAATATCAATCAGATTTGCATTAAAGTATATGAAAAGTCAATTGCGTCTATAAAGATACTTATTGTTTACATGTGTATGACTAATACTCACTACATTATATTTTAGAGAATTCTTTCTGCTCGACAAATTCAACCACAATGCTTATCAAAAACAATTCATAACACATCAAAACAGAACAAATTCATGGAAGCAAAAGCTTTGAAATAGTCACTTGACGAATATAATCAATTTTGTTGTCGTAGAGAAATAGAATCTTAAGGCATTGAGCTATATGGAAGTTCCAGAGAACCATCAAACACACATCATACCAAATATAAAGTAATAAATGAATATTAAAAGATCAAAATCAAACATAAAATTTTTATCTAACCTTTGACATCATTACATCCATTCCAAAAATCCAAGCATCATTAAAAGTTTCAAAAAAAAAATATTTTCTTTCCCGAAGGTTTTTTCGTTGCATTCATTTCGATATCATTAAAAGAAGCTAGGGCAGGAATGAAAAAAAAGTTGTTTCTGTAATCTGCACAACATTTACCATAAAAGAATTCACTCAACGTCCGGCCAATTTATAAACAATTTTTTTTTCATCATTCTACATGCTACATAAAAGAAATCCTCATCCGACATTCGTCGTGCGACAAATTAAATTATTTTTAATACATTTGGGAGCACAGGACGGAATGAATAAGAATAAAAAAAAGAGTGGTAATGGCGATATGGTCAGACTGGTGAAATGATAAACATTCCGTGGTGAGGATGAGAAGTCACAAAAAAAATAAAAAATTAGGCAAGGAGGAAGTGAAAAATGATAATTATATTCTAGGGATTTTAATAACTCAGCAAACAATAGCAAGGAACGGAAGGATAGAAGTAAGTTAAGCAATTTTTTACACTTACCGGATCCCGGATGATGAAATTACTGTTAATTAATTTTTTATTCATGATGACAGGTGTAAATTAAATTAAATTAATTAATGAGATTTGCCTCCGGCTGTGCTGAAGATTATTTTATTTTTTTATAAATCAGAAAAATTTCAGCCTCATTTGCTGTGAATATTCAGCATTCCAATGAGATTGAGAAAACCATGCGACGTCCTCAAAATTGTGAATGTAGAAATCGTTTTCTAATAAAATATTGAAAAACTCATCAATAAAGTGCCGAAGGCTATAAAAAATCTTTTAGATTTTTAATAAATGTTTAAATATGATACAATCAAGGAATTTTATTCATTATCTTTTTTGGATATCATCATCATATCTTGATATTTTTAGAAGCAAGTTTTGATGGGAATTATGCAAATGTCTTAAATTAGACTTTCGGATTTGAAGGTTTTGAAGTTTCTTGAATTAATCATTTGATCGATTCACAATAATTAAGTGAGAGTAAACTCATGATTGAGACTAGCCTATGAGTATGATTTTGAGAATCTTATGTGACTTATCGAGTAATTTGTAGAGTTTAAGTCAGCACTAGTTTCTAGTAGAATCTTGAATACGCCTTAACTCACAAAGCATTAGAACATTTCTTACTTATCCATCATAAATACAAAAAATAATAGAAATCTGTCTTAGAACATCCATTCCCAAAAAAAGTAATAATAAATTGAGAATTTCAATTTTTTCTTCATTCTTTTAATTTTCATTACCAAGTTTCATTATATTGAACATTTCTTTTTTGTTCCTTGCAATTATCTTAGGAAGAGAATTTTTATTATGTTTAGAATGAACCATAACTGATGCGAACGGAAGAAATTCCTTCTTATTCTAAATCAAGGAATTCCAAGATAATTTTTTTCTATTAGTTGGGATGGAAAAAAACCAATTTTGGTTAAATGAGTCGAAGATTGAAACCCTCACTCATTGGTGTGCATAGACCATTGTGTATACTGTAAAGTTTTAGAGAATGAAGAAATGTTGAGGCCGCACAATTGAGCAAAACATTCTTTTGCAAGAAAAAGTTTGCAAAGATTTTTAATGAATTTAAAAAAATAATAAGAATAAAATTAAGAGAGAGGAATTATCTCATGAAATATTCTTTTTACTTGTATTGTTCTAGATTGGACATAAACATTGTTGTTCTGTTGAGTTCATTCTCCTGAAATTTGAAAATTTCTAAACGTGAATTTTTAAAAAATGATGTTAATTGCAGCAAATTGTCGAAACTATAGCTAGGTTGGTTTTTATAAAGTTAAAGGGTTGTAGGTTAGTCAAAGAAAATCTATAATTCTATAGATTGAATTAATAGTCGACCTAGTAAGACTTCACACAAGCGAAAAAGCTTAATCTTCAGACTTTCATACCAAAAAACAGCGCTTCTTACCTCCAAAACTTCCTAGTTATAATCTCATTCAAACAACCTTACATTCATTTGTATACTGATAATCATGCATCCTATGGGACAGAAAACGTACAGCAGTTGATGAAAAACTTTTCTTTTAAAACTACCAAAAAAAAAAAATCTTCTTTATTTTCAAGAAATTTCCAGTTTAAATTCCTCTTGATAGATTTTCAGTTCCTTTCCATTTCATTTTCATATTCTTACTAAATAAGTATCCAATTGAGAGTAAAAATTTCTACAAACTAATTTATTTTAATTAAAAGCAAAAGTGTAATAGAGTAGCTATAAAAAGGGGGGAGAAACTGAATAGAAAGTAAGTTGATGAAGTTTAATGAGCATAAAATCGTTATTGAAAAATATTCTTATCCTAAAAAAGTTTCTTGACATATTTATGGATACTCATTCCTTTGGTTTTTGATAATAATTTGGCTTAACAAATGGCATTTTGGAAATTTCTGCTTTAAAGAATTTGTCACGAATTTTAAGATCTACAACTGTGCCGAGTTTCTTGAATTCTTCCTTCACATAACCCATTGCTACATTTCCAGCGATTGATGGACTTGGACAGCCACTTGTAATCTCACCAATTAATTCACCATTTGCATAGATTGATACACCATGACGTGCAGGAGGTCCTGATATCATTCTAATTCCAACACGTCTTCTAGTTACTCCATTTTTAAGCTGATTGAGGATTACATCTGCACCTAAGAAGTCACGTTCAGTTCTTCGTCTTTTAGCAACTAGCCATGCAAGTGCAGCCTCAATTGGAGTTGTTGTTGTGTCAATATCACTTCCATAAAGACACATACCAGCTTCAAGTCTCAATGAATCTCTTGCACCGAGTCCAGCCATTTTAATATTAGCTGATTTAGATTCAAGCAATGCAGCCGCAACAGCACTTCCACTTTCTGCTGGAATTGAGATTTCAAATCCGTCTTCACCAGTATATCCACATCTTGTAATGCGACAATTCTTAACACCCGCAACTATAGCTTCTGTTGTGGTCATGAAGTACAATTTACTTAAATTCATTTTTGTCAAACTTTGTAGAGCAAGCTGTGATCCCGGACCTTGTAATGCAAGTAATGCTTTTTCAGATGGATCAAAGAATTGAACATTTACATCCTTATTCTTTTTAGTACGGAAGTGCTCAACAGTCTCTTGTATCAATTGACTATCATGTTCCTTACGTGCTGCATTTGAAACAACATAAAGAAAATCGGAATCAACTTGACTAACAATCAAGTCATCAAGTATTCCACCATTCTTATTTGTAAAAACTGTCAGGGAACCAGATCCTTTTTGTAATCCTTGAATGTCAGCTGTTGTTATAGTTTCAAAACATTCGATTGCATGTTTGCCTGTTATGTGAGTTTGCAGCATATGAGATACCTAAAATTATTATGTCAATAGAATTTTTTATTTAATAAAGTCATGTCTACTCACATCGAATATTGAAGCACATCCAGGTGTTCGTGTGTGCACATGCGACGCGGCAATTCCTTGATCAGAATATTGAACAGGCAACAAGTATCCGGCAAAATTGACAATTTTTCCTCCTTGTGAAACATGAAAATCATACAATGACGTTTTCTTTCCACGTTCCTCCTGTGCTAGTAATGGTGATGTTGAGAAGCATGCAAAATTCTTAATTTGCAGTCTTTTACCAACGAGACGAGACGACAGGAACTTAGTCAAGCCCATTTTTTCTTAATTTTTTGATAATTCTCAGATGTAAATTGCAGCACAGTAGAAATCAAACTGATTGAGATGTACAATAATAATTTAATATAGAACAAGCGTAAATCTTATCAGCTGTTTGATGCTGACTTGAAAGGTCAACCCACAAAAATTCTGTTCTCTTATTTCTATTTTTATTGTGATTTCTTCTGTCGATTTTTTTCTTCTTCTTCGTCTTATCACGTGATTCGTGACTCAACTAGGGGTTATTTGTGAATTTTGATGTCTGAGCTGATTAATTATGTTTTGTGACTTGTGCGTTGTAAAAGCTTATCTTGAATGAAGTTATAGGATGTTTATTATTTCATGGCAGGTACTTAGTATGTTTATGTTTATGATTTTTTTTGGGGATTTTTATTAGTAAATAGTTTCTTAACACTTTAATTACTCTTCCTAACGTAATAGCACCACTGTACTTTATTAAATGAGAAATCAAATCCTGCATCGAGACACTTTTGTTCGTATCTTCCTGATCTTATTTGCAATGCACTTATAAGTTGACAGTTACATCCATATAGATTACAATAGTATAAATGTGGATACTCATGATCATGAATACACATGGGATGAGTTGATTGAACAATTAATGACAAAAGTGTGAAAAATAAAATTAATTTGCTCATTTTAATATTTTTGATTCTTAAATCTTTGATTTTATTTCCTATGTTTTTACAGCTTGATATCAAATAGCGGACTGATCAGTAGACTTAATTAAAATTGAAATTTGTAGATTGTATTTGAATCAAATGTATTACTTGTTGGAGGATGAAAGGTTAGAGGTTAATGCTTACTTTATTTATAATGTAATGAAAATAATGTCTCATCTCAAAAAAAGAAACTTCGACCATTCTTAACTTAAATGCTCATTGAAATCAGTGACAAATTACAAATGGATTGATAATTGCATGTTTTAATTTCAACAATAAAAGTACTTTGAATGAAATATTTCCAAGAACAAAAAAGTACAAAAATCATGACAATGACAAATCTTAAATTAATGTAAGTAATTTGTTATGATAAAAATCATGATTTTACATGGACAATGGAAGACATTTGTCCCTTTTCTCCTGCACAGCAATGAAAGAAAGAAGAAGGAAAGAAAATGTTAAGAACAAAATAATTAATAATAATTTCTACTCATTAGAAATCATTTCTCCCTTCAAATTGCATTGTACTCACAGATTTATTTCTTGATGGACATTAAAAGGGAGAGAAGTTAAAACATCTACAAATTGCCATTGCCCTACATAAAAGTAAGACATGAAATTTGTAGCAACTACAATAAATTATCATTCTGAATGATCCTATTTATTTAGTCAATCAATTAAGCTGTAAGTATCCACGTGCTAACGTTTAATGAAACATTTCTTGTGGGTGCATTAACATTTTTTTTTTCTCGAATGTCCTTCAAAGGCAACGATCATAAATAAAACATCAATTACAGTTGGAATCTCTGTTGTGCTATATTGTGTTTTGTACTATGGGTGGGGGCTTGTTATGCTTGGTGAGTTTGAGAGCTGATATGTAGTGATTTATTGGTTAAAAACAAAAGAAGGGCTATCATCTTGGGATGTCTGACCTTTGGTAGGTTTTTGGAGTCTTTGAGGTTGGTTTTTTAAGGTGAAATTTTGTGCTGATGTGGGTCATGGTCTAGAATTTGCTTAGGTTATGGTCAAACCTGGTCAAACTTTAGTGTAGCAATGGAATTAGATTGCCGCTGAAACCATGGACATTAAAAATCAAGCATCGCCTTTAGAATAAACACAGATATACATAGAACATCCCGAATCACTTATCATGACATACAGACAACGCAAACTATATAACAGAAAAGTTCACACAACTTAACAACACAACAAGAGGGGAACGGAAGTCAAAATGAGCAATTCATTTTGCAATAAATTTCTACCTGAACAAATTCATTCGATTTTTATTGCCTTATTGGCACGCTACACAAATAGAATTGGTAACAAGCAACAACAGTGCTCTTACTCTCTGTGTATATTTCCACCAAACAATGCACTTGGGACGTGTCGAAGTCAATCGACAATTTTCATTTTCTTCTTCCTTGTTCTTGTTTAGGAAAAAAAGCAATTCATTGGGGAATAATCATTTTGCAATAAAAATAAGAAATGAATGGCAAAAAAAGAAGAGAAAGAAAGAAGGCAAACAACAAAAATCGTTTTTGTTACGAATGAGCTACCGTTAAAAATAACAATCGCAATATACACTCATTAAAAGCGAATCAATATCAAATGACAGAGAAATTTATTGTTGTGATGCTTATTTGCTTGTAACTAAAATTTTGGTTCTTATTCGTTTTCATTGCTATTATGTGCTGTGCTCTGAGAAAATATGTGGGAAGAAGATGAAAATGAGAATGTTGATGATGATGATATTATTAAGAATAGAGTATTGATAGGTCGATTGTAATAGGTAATGTGGCACATATTCGTTGATTATTATTGCTGTGCTGAATTTCATTTATTGTTAGGTTTTTGAGAATATGGTTTTTGTTTTATGGCAGCAAAGGAAGGTTGAATTGTACAGGAGTTGGATTTTCATCTTTAATCGAGTTCACGAAAGTCCTCTTAACTCTAATTTTATCTCAAATCTGCAAACGATCAATCCAAAATTCCATCTTTAAAGAAACCTAAAGACCCCATTGCTCTACATTATATCTCCCATGAAATCATCTTAACATATGCAATGTGACTAATAGTCAAATCAATTTATTCTGAAAGTAATTTTTAAACACACACAAAAATCTGTGGTAAAGGCATCAGCATGAGAAGGAAGTAAGAGAATCAGTGGATTTAAAAGGAAAAATCAATATTCCATCATCATTTCTCTTTTTGTTTGCAATCATCCAGGATATAAATGTGTGTAGAGAAGCGTAGAAGGAAAAGAATAAAAAAACATCCCCGAAAATTCCTCTATACGCTCAATCCTTCATCAGTCACACTACTCATGATGATTAATGGATCTCATCTTATATATATTTTGTTGATGGTGAAATCACTTTTATTTTATCGTATGTGTATGTCTATTGCCATCCACATCCACCCATTGTCTCCATCAATTTGTGTCGCCTGATTGTTAAGGATTGCTAGGGATTTTTTTTTTCAACTTCCTTATTCACCCAACTACTTTGAGTTTGCCTTTTCAATTTGATGAATTGATAAAGAATTTTCTCGTTTTTTTAACTTCTTCAATTCCTTGATTTTTTATTGAATGAAATTTGAATTTTTTTTTGCTTCTTTAAGGTGTTCCGTCCTCTCTGTGATGATTTAAGAAAGATTGAATATATTTTTTTCTTTTCTGTCGGTAAAGTGTTTAACGAAAAGTGATTTGCATAAAAAAATACCATTTTTCTCTCTCCTTCATTCGTTTTTATTTCTACAATATGTTAATAAAGATTGAAGTGCAGAGTTGCTGCTTCTGATGTCTCAAGGAACCTAGTTTATTGATCTTAATCAGGTAGTTTATCAGTTAAATTAGTTGCGAATCTAGTGCTTATGCAGTGTCATTCAGGCTTATCAGTCTAGATCATCTTGATTATAGCTTGATGCTTAGAGTACTCCTGGAATTTGAACAAGATCCCACCACTGAACTGAAAAAAGAAACATGAATAAAAGTGCTTTAATTCAGCAAACATTTTTTTGATGATTCCTTCACATTGATTCAATGTACTATGTGTGTGCTTTCTGTTATAACATCGAACATCTTGGCGTCGTCTTAAGGACTCGTCATCATCCACTTTTTTAACAGACACAAAAAAATGATACAAAAAAACGAGCACGATAAAGTTAAGATATATCTAAGTAGAGAGTAACGAAGCAAATATTGCTGATTAACAATTCAAATAGCGACATTACATTGCAATCGTAGATATGCGAACGTACGTACGAAAATGTCGTTTGAAATGATAACAATCATTCCATAAAGTCCTTTCGTGCTTTGCTCTCAATTACATTCTTGACGTATTTTTTTTTCTGTGTCTTTCTTCTCCTTCCACGAAACTACGCATTTTAATGCCATACATTTGAGCCCATTTACATGCTTTTTTGGCTCCTTCTATGTTTCAATTTTTCGACAAAAGGAAGGAAGAAAATATGTACGGGAAAAAGTAGACATAAAAAATGCTTTTTGTTACTCTTCAAGCATAAAGATGGAAAATTGAATTAAAGTGATGAGAATATTTGCTTAATAAACGAATGAAAAATATTGAAAAATGTTTTTTTTTTGTGGGGAGAAAAATTTTTGTTAGCAAATTATATCAAGTGGATATGCTTGTTGGAGAGTGGCTGTTGAAGTGGATGTAGTTGAATTGCACCTTGAAATTATACTATTGGTGAGGAGATGTGGATGTAATTGGTCAAGTTATTTAGAGTTTTCTAGTTCCTAGCTTTTTGCATGTTGGCAAGATCTAGCCTCAAAGTCACCAGTCAAAATTCATTTATTCACATCAAATCAAAAAGTGAGTTTTCCACGAATCCATTTCACTTCCTCCTTCACCAAATTTCACATTCTTTTGTTATTCTTTTCTTGTTCTATTTACTTCAATTTGTGCTTCATCACCTTTAACATTAGGCAAGTAAGTAACATTTATTTCATAAAAATAGCAAAAAACAATTTAAAAATCAACAAAAATTCCTTAATGTAAAAATAATAAGAGGATGTACGAGAATGCCTGAAAAATTTCCTTTTGTGTGGTTTCAAATGAGAAAGAAAACGACAAGCAATTAAACAAAAATTAGCGGGGATAAAATTATACATCAACATGTATGCGTGCTTGTATGTGTGGTTAAAATTTTTAATTAACTCACTCTCTTCAGTTAATGTGTACTTAAATACTCATATGTGATGTGCTATGGCTTTTAATGTGTTTCACTCCATCTTTCATTTCGGTGGTTAATTAAAATTTTTTTTTTCTCGACAAACTGTTATAGATGGGTTTGGGGGTCGTCTATAAATGATGTCTAAATGTAATTTAGACAAGAGGGGCTTCACAAATTCAAA